TCAAAATTAGTGATTGCAAGGGGTTGCACGAGTTCATTACGACAGGAGCGTGATGGAAGAGATACTTTAACGAGATTTCAGTCGTGTGCAATTGCGCCAAGAGCTGACTGTATCTGGAACGAAAAATGGCGGGAAATGCTTTTCACTGTAGCCAAGAAACGGTATTACATGCAGTCGGAATTTGTGCCACTGGGCCTCAATATTGTTACTCTTTTACACTGCAGACATTTTGTTAGGTTTTTTTTTGTTATTGTAGGTATTCTACTATTATATTACATGTTATTATTCTTTTTGATCAGCTGTTTGAATTTTCAACATGTGTGCTCCATTGCGAATGTTGCAGCCTTTACATAGCGGTTTGAACAGGACCAATTCTGGGTGCGGTATACAATGGAAACAAATTTTTAGCTCTTATTGTAGCCTATCCAGGACATTCTTCGAACCAAAAATGGAATGGAATGTAAATCGAATCGAAAGCACATTCCAAAATGAAATTGATCGATGCCGGAGGCTTTGGGCTTTTGCTATGTACGGCAGAAAAGGCAAGCGTATGGTGATCGTGCCACTATTCTGCAAGCAACTTTTAGGAATTCGCTTGGAAATATTCCAAAACCTTTTATTAGCACTACCTAGCAACCTAACTGAGGTACTATACAACTTCCAACTGGTAGGTGAAGTTTCGAAGAAACTAGACCTGTTCAGAGAAAGAGAAAGCTGTTCTACATCTTCGGTTCACTTAACCTTGGCATTCATATAGTTTTCAACAGGTATCAGCCATCTTGACATTCAGGATTAAATGAGCAGCAATGCTCAGTGAATAGCAACGTTGCGAGCAGCACTCTGAACATTCTTCTGAACAGCAGTGACTCAGATAAACCGAAGTCATGTTTTGCTTCAAAAGTGGCCTCCAAAGATCAGACGGTGAACAAACCAATTCCCTTATCGAATCTGAGCTCACTCGATTCGCTCTGAAAAGCTGAAATCTTTCAAGAATCGGGACTACTAGGGAGCTTACACTTCATTATTTCAAGAGCAGTCAAGTGCTATTGTACAATTTTTGCTCGATGAAGTGAACCCCGATCCTTTTTTGGAGCATTTGCCTTCACAAAACATATTAAGCGGTTGACCATGCCCAAAACTGGGTAGATTCCATAGACAAATGAAATTCGTATCACAACAGACAGGCTTTCAATCTATTCACACTGCTACCCCTCAACCCCTCCAACATCCGCTGCCATGAGAAAGCGTCGTCTGTTAGCTCTTGAAAGTTTATGTTCTCAAGCATCTCCGCCTCCATGTCATCAAAGTTTGAGTAAGCAATTCAGAGATATTGCTCCGCTTTTGACGTGACGTTCATTCAGTTCGAAAGAACTCCGCCGTTCATTCCTGTTGCCGACACACTTGATTGCAAAATGGACCTTGGTCGGGGACAACGTCAGCAGACGACATAAATTCTGTAACCTGGTCTGGCATTGCCACATAGGCAGTAAATGTTTATAGATATTCCCTTTCTGAACCACCAAACTAAACAACATAAAAGCAACAATTCGTTCCGACCAACAACCCTTTGCGTCACTGGCCAACGTCGTAGGATCAGGCTTGGTACGAAAACTGTCGCCATCAACATAAGAAACTTTTCAAACTGCAAGAAACGTCCACTTCGAGAATCACCTTCTGAGAAGGTGACATGTTTCGTTCCGCGTCATTGCCAACTAAAAAAGCCCTTCACAAAATGCCTGTAGCTTGAAGAATTGGTTTCACTTTCACCCACAAAAGAGACATTCAAGGATACTCCCCACTTCAATTTGGAGTCAAAAACCATTCCAACACATCCTTTTTCACACAGTTACTAGTAGAAATGGTTCTTCATAATAGAGATGCTTCTTCTTAATACTTTTATCTTAAACACTTTGCTTACGATAAGAGCATTAAGAGGAGCCGAGTCTTATAAGTGAGAGTCCAACCAATTATTCTAGTCTTGGCAAGACTGGACGGTTTCTCAACAATGAAATAAAACAGCGGAACCACTTTGTGTGACATAAGTGTGAAATTTGAAGGGTTCAATTCAAGTGCAAAAAAATGAGCGAAAAAAAAATATCAAAAGAAATGGCCACCTTCAAATGCTAATATGTTATTTCTATAAAAAATCGCTTCCCTCCATTCCATCTGACATGCTGGCGCAACAAGAAATCGTTTATTTCTAATATTTATCGCAAAAAAAAATCGTCGATACTGCGACTATGGTACAACTAATAGTCCTAGTACTTGCGTGCTGCACGCATGGCATCAATCTGCTCTTGGACTTCCGGACTGAGTGCATTGTCGGGCTGAAAAAGTGAATATTCAAACCTTCAGAACTCACTGAAAGTCAGGAAAATACATTCCTTTATCCATAGGTGAATGAACGAATTCAAAAAAGCTAAATAGCTCTTAACTTACAAACAACTACAAGCATTCAGTATAGCGCATATTAATCTTAGCCTAACAGCCAGTAAAAGTGCAATTTGGATTGTTTATGAAGGGTGATAGTAGACGATAAATGGTGTTACGAGATGGAAACATGTTACATGAAAACTATGAAGACAAATTCCGATTTTTTCTAAATAAGGGGTTATGCGGACGTGGAGTAATAGAGACAACATAGAGTGCGTATTGTACGGTTTGAATAAGTCGCCATCGCGAATACCATCCTTAGACCTTATAGCGCGAAATTCGGAATATTATAGACCCAGCATCTCAGTACTACGTACTAAAGACGTGCACACTCAAATGATAAACTAGGATAACTCAATGATGTTGTTCGTAGAGGATTTCGAAAAGAAAAGCCTTCAGACACACAAAAAGGCCGATATTTTAACCACGTTTTGTAAGAAATACCTTCGGACGAAGCTGGTCCAATCTGAGGAGCACATACGTGGGATACGACAGGAACGACACAGTGATGAGCATAAACAGGGTTAACTGAAAAAACAGGATTACTCGCCTAAAGAGCGCCAAATTCTCACAATCGGTATTTCTACATTGAGGTACAATATTTTATGAATTCCTTCCAATTCAACAACACTTTTCATAATTTTTGTGGCACTGCCATTTGTCCGTTATCAATTGCCGCCATTATTCTTTTTTCTGTGTAACTAACCATAATCAGCAAAACATCTGCGAATGAAAAATTTGATGCTTATTGTTAGCCACAAAGAGCCTAACAAACAAAAAAAAACTGCTCGGATACGCTGGGACCACTGCTATTGCTACGATGACAATCAGTAGTACAATCTGCAGCTCAAGACTGGTCAAACCCTTTAGAATTCACCATTGGCTCGTCTCAATTCCATTTCCAGAAAGACCAAAGGTTTACAGTTCATATATGGATCACAATTAGTTGTAAGGTACCGCCAAGCTTCAATATTCTCATTTTCCCACGAAAGCTAAAACGAACAACCGGCTAATAATCAACCAATCACTCCATTTGCTCGAGTAAATGTTTCCGCAGCTAAGAGAACAAGCTCATTCGAGATGAATGCCACAAGGTTTATCAATATTAAATTCCCTCTCTGAGATGTATGCACTTGCTAAACCAGTTTGCCCATTACCGCTGTTTTTCCAAGCTAATAACGTGGAGGAGATCGCAATAACAATGATCATGCAAACTTCCAAGCAGGCTACCCTGTTACGTGCGTTTTGGCAAAATGAACGGCTTATCGATGACAAAAATGACAAAACCCCATTGATCAAACATCGATAGCGAAAAATGACAAAACCGTCAAGTACAAAAAGAAATATTTACAAACCAGGTGAAGTCAATGCTAGGCTAACATTAGTGGAACCTCTTGAGATTTGTGGCCCTTGAGGAAATCAATCGATTAATTGATTGAACATAAGCTTACGTAAATATCATTCCGGTGCTGCCTCTTTCACCATTTCTTTGCGAAAGCTCGGCAAGATCCGTTCAAAAAAAAAATGGCAGATTTAGTAGAAAAAAAATAGTGTAATTCCCAAGTGTAAGGTTTCCAAAATGAGGCTATCACCTCTTTCAGCACTTTCAGTGGATACCCCCCTCATTGAGAACTTTTGTTTGTCTCAATGAGCCCTCGACGAAAACATCCTAGGCCACTACTGAACAATGATTGACCATACTCAAAATAAAAACCGCCCAAAGTTACAAGCAGTCCCTGAAATTGACAATCGTCACAGATCTTTTCGATAAAACACACTTCTACGCCAGCAAACAACTAGTAACGTTTCCCCAGCTTCTACTTAAAATAGTTTCCACACGCCGCCATGATTCTCCCACCAATTCCTGCTGCCGTCGTGGCATAAACCAAGGTGGTAGGCATAGCAAAAAAAAAGGATGAGAAAGCGACTAAAAAGTGATGGATGTTCGACGCCGAGCTCAAAATGAAAAACATCACAAAAACAGTCTTGGAAACTTCTACATGACCAGGGAAAACACTAGAAGTTGCGAAAAGAGTTTCTTGGTTAGGTTTGAAACGATATCCACTCCATGAATCACATCTCAATAGTCCAAAATTTGCATAGCTGCACAAAAGCTTTCTGGCTGACAGTATATATCTCACTACTGGAAAGATGGTCTCCTAACTCAGATCAGTTTAGAGAAATTGTGATTTAGCACACCTCAATCCGTAAGCCGAGAGCGTTTCCTTGTGAAAGTAAGGAAATTTTAGAATTTATACGACTAGTTACTGGTACACTTTAAGAAAAAAACTCGTGAAATTTCATGGCGAAAGAATTGGTCATTAGTGAAACTTACTGAGTGATGTGTACCCAAATACTTTACGGAGATTACCACGAACAATTAGTTTCCGTTCAAAAGTAGCCGATCCTTATTCCTTACCGCCCTTACATATACGGAACAAACCTGGGCATTACCACGCTTAAACAAGCCATCGTAAAGACAAAAACTCGTAATACGGAATCACTAGGATCCCATGTGAATGATAACTCCTAAAGAAACTAATCAAGCACTTTAATGATTTTAATAACTAAGCCACAATTTGGGAGCCAGCAATAAATAAATGTAAAAAAGAAACGAAAAGACCGCATGAAAAATGAGAAAGCATAATTGAAGAACCAACCCTTTCGGGAACTGAGGTCCAACGCATCGGAGGTGTTGAGTCAACTCCTTTGTGCAGTGCACGTCGTAGCACAGGAGCTTGACGGCACAGCGACAGAATGGCACGATTCATGACTGGAAATGGAACATTAGGGAAGACGGAAACAAAACCGATCGAACATCAATCAAGGTATGCAGAACCTGACGCTTTAGGAAATGCAAAGACAAAACATTCAACATAGAATTGGTAGGGCAGTGGGTCACGAAAAATGGCAACTCTAGCTTCCTGTCTATTTCGTGTAAAAAGAACCCCACCTCCCCAAACCACCCACCTATGACTCCCTGTTGGGTTTCCGTCAGCACTCTCTTGACGCTGACCAGTTCTCTATAATCTTTTGTGCAAACTACTACACGATAACGTATGAATACTCTAAAGTATGGGAGTAAACACACAATTTATCTCTGAAAGCAGAAAGCTTCTGTCTAGCGACTGAGACACACAATGACAGACAATTTCCGGATAAGTCAGCGACTGGTTAAGGAAAACCACAGAAAGACCAGTCGAAACACCAATGTTGACATCATGCCGGCAATGATGTACTATTAATCCCGAAATTCTACCTCCATAGATGCTAATGAACACGATTAACCCCAAAAGGTACTCGACCCGAAAGTGAAGACCATACTCTCAAATAGAACGATCAGTAATTTGTTGATAACGCCTCTAGTCCCTGGCCATGGAAGCTTCACACTCGAGAAAATCGACTTGCACTTTCTCGCTTGGGCGATGACGTCACCCGCAATCAAAATAAATGAAGCTTCAACAAAAATATTACTTCTGCCCATTAATATCGCAACATAAATACCATCCATTAACCCTGAACGGCTAGCGACAAAAGTGGACCACTTTATGAGAAAAAATTGAAGGCGATTACAAATATAAATACATGCAACATATTATAACTATGAACTAATAATTAGCAAAGAAATTTTCGAGGGAAAAACTGCTTAAACAAAGGCGCCAACATGTCTGAGAGCCACTTAGTTCGGCCCAAGAAAAAAGATGTCGCTACAGCAGGAAACAATTTGAAATGTAAATATGATTAAGCATTTGTACTTTCTCTAGTAATTTAAGTTCAAAATTAAGTGTGCAGAGACGTAGTACGTGAGAAATATGAGAATGACCCGACAATTACAACCACCAATAAAAAAAATGAGCAAAATTGGAACCTAGTCCATGGCAACATAACGTCACGTAACGCAAAGGACCGTTTGGGGAAAAACTGCCCGATTAAATCGCCCATACAGCGATAAATCGAGAGTCGCGTGGTGCAACGAAATGACGTAGAAAAGTGTTGACAACCGTTCAACCGAGACAAGTACAGCGCCGATGAAAAATGCTTGGAAAAAACGTAGCGACAACGTGAAATCTCACCTCACCGCGTGATTATCGTGAATTTGTAACCGCCCGTTGAAATAGCGGCATTCGTTTCGGGACCACCGCGTCACTTCATTTCGGGTCACCTCCGCCGCCACGGCTGGTCGTTGCCCATTTTCATTGTCATACGGCTGGAATGCATAAGATTTAGAAGTAAACCTAGATAAGAAGTAGTTGTTGTATTAGTAACTACGCGTTGGCCAAATTAGTCATGCAAATGGGAGGGAAGAATACGTGTGAGACAGCGTGGGAAAATTAAGGTTCGTTATGTAAATGGAGCTGTTACTATTACGCAGTACTTCTAAAAGCACTCCCCACTATGTCGGGATATGACTTTCACTCCACGTCTTCATTCCAATATATCCCATTTGCGATGTCCCGGCTAACGGGCAGGTGTGCCCGTTATCGATCGATTGGCGAACGGCGAATTGTTCAGGAAGCCAAAGTTTATTATCAGGGTAATACTAGAGGCAATTCCTCATTATTCGAGGTCAAACAAATAAAATCCAGGCCTCAATCGAGAAACAGTTTTTCAAACAGGAGCCCAATCTGCAGTTTTTTGGATATTTGAATCGGAGTCGCAAAAAGTTGACTGGGGTAAGTGGTAATATTCTGCTGTTCAATCAGCAATCATGGAATTCAGTATCGCGAATGAAGAACAAAGAACCAGCCCTATTGTTTTCATTGTTGTCTTTGCTAATGACTGGGTAACAATGAGCGAATCCTACTTTTAGATAACGATATTCTGGCTGAAAATACTTCAGAGTCAGTTCTGACGATAAGCTGAATGGAGCTCTTCAAGCAGTCAATAGGTTGAGCTGCTCAGCTCCCACAGATCTTATTCAGTAATAAGTCAGCACTGAGCGACGAGAACGTTAGACCCCCATTTCACCCAGGCAACCCCGCCCATTGCAAACAACCCCGCCCTCCTTTTATGGCTGTCTCGATTGCAGGGAGAGAAAACATTCATGCAAGCAACGACAGAAGTGCAGCCTAGAACGAAACAAGTGTTACCGTCGAATGTTGATGTATCTCCCAATCCATTACCAGTTTATTCTCGTACAAATCCCTATGAGACGCCTCCGCCTTCGCACCTTGTCGTTCCTTTCTATTCTTTCAAAATTTTCAACATTCAGTGAGCACATCGGAAAGAAAATTTTGATCAACAGTTCTAATTTCCTATCCTTTCATCAACCTCAAGCTTAGCTGCTGAGTTGATTGCCGACATTAGACAGCCTCAGTCCTTTTACATTCGTGTGAGCCAGCTCGCAGTGCAACATGAATGGTACGAGCAAATTATTTATTATCAGTACCGAATGATATATAGTGCTGAAGTGCGTACTGTCAGTACCCGTTGTTAACCCAGTCCACTATTTGTTTCCTTTCTTAGTCCATATGGTTGCTCCATTGCTCTACCATCAAGCTGAGGTATCAATTGGTATCGATTTGGTTGATGGTGTGATCATCTGATCAACCACACCATCCATTAAATCGATAGCAATTGATTGACTGGAACTGCCATGGTAAGGTAGACAAATATGCTGCGATTTATAGTGTACAATTACGATTAATACCAGCCCATTCGTTTCAGCTCGCTCATGATCACTACCTCTCGGGTTACTAGGGGGGCTACACAGACAAGCATACGGACGGACAGACCGACGACCGACCAACAATCGGCACACCACGTTACTGCTCTATATGTGAATGGATGCTCTCAGAGTTCAACGACGTGCTTTATTTCGATTTCCGACTGACCGACCGACGGAGTTGCCGGCCACTTGTTGCCAACGCCGGATGTCGATCGATACCGCTCAAGTGGCCCTGAACGCAATCTGTCCAGCATTGTTAACACGTGGCCAGGAACTCGGGGTCGATCGGTCGTTGAAACAAACTTCTAAAGTAAGCAAAAAAATAATAAATTAGGTAGAAAGAAGAAAGCACGCTTAGCCTGATTCACTCCAATGCCCAATTGCCGGCCACTTGTTGCCAACGCCGGATGTCGATCGATACCGCTCAAGTGGCCCTGAACGCAATCTGTCCAGCATTGTTAACACGTGGCCAGGAACTCGGAGTCGATCGGTCGTTGAAACAAACTTCTAAAGTAAGCAAAAATAATAATAAATTAGGTAGAAAGAAGAAAGCACGCTTAGCCTGATTCACTCCAATGCCCAATTCTTTGTGTTTATCTTGCTCTCTCTCCTTCTTTTTTGCTTTTTAACCAATTTTTCTTCCTCCTTCTACACGAGTGCACACTGTTTGGTAAGCGTCCGCATGCTATTCCCAAAAATTCTTCGATAAGTTGTTCTGATGTAGAGGACTATGCCTACAAACAAAGCATATTTACTCTCAGGGTCTCTCCTGAAGAGGAGGATGTGGAGTAGTTCAACATTGCAACCTCTCGAAAGGCCTGTTTCCAAGGGACCTCTACTGCTGCATGTGGCATCAAGACACGACAATCGTCGTTAGGCCTACTTTTAGGCTTTGAGTTGTTACGAGCGTTTTGGGAAGTACCCTCCTTTAGGTAACAAGCAAATTGCCGGCACAGTTTTGTCGGTGCTTGGCCAATACAAATAGAACGTCGGCATCGCGCCAACGCAAACTCTGGGGGCGTGACGGGCCAACGAGGTCATGCCGCTGACGTAGGGCGCGGCGGGTCACGCGGCAACTCACGTTGCGTACCCGACCGGTGCACTCGGTTAGTTCATGGAGCAACTCACGACCACAAAACAGTCTCGTAGAACATTTTTTAAACGAAAACTTATTGCTCATATGCCACACTATTGTCAGTTCCCTACAAGTTACGATATTTCTCCTCATTGGTCTGACATGATTCATTCCTTTGAGCCCAGAATATTTAAGAAAAGGCGAGTATTATCAATTGTTCAGGTTAAATTTACGTTCACCACATCATCTAATGGTAACTATGAAAGGAGGTGTAAAGAACAGTATCCAGCATCTTCTGTTCGTTACCAGACTGTCTGGGAGGATGCCCGGGAAACGTTCGCTACACGCATTCGTCGAAAATAGGTCGCCCCGCCCACTTCGCGCACGGCGCCGCACGCTACTGAGGTCTCGAGGTGACATTACAGTACCTTCAAGTGTCAGTGGAGCGAACGATTAGCATTTGTCCGCGTTATGTCCACCCCCCCC